TATATTAATAAACTTATACATCAGGTACATGATGGATCAAGGGTATGGTATAATACCCGACCCCGACCCTAACCCTCCGGTTTGTATCTACCGGAGATCCTCAGTCTTGTGACCGGTATCCCCATTTCCGTTCGAGTCGGAACAAATCATGATCCTTTGTCAAAAGGGATAATTGGGACTCGTCTTTTGGTTTTATGCGAATTCGAGATCCGTGACCCAAATTATGCATTTTCTGTTACAATTGTTTATATTATATTATATATATATATATATATATATATATATATATATTATCTTTTATGGTTTTATTGTAACGTAAAAGACACCTAATATATTAAAATATTGTCGTAAATTATGCAATCATGTCTTCCAACAGTAAAAAAATTTTAATGAAAATTTGAAATATTTAAAATCATATAAAAGTAGGACAACAATATATATTTTAAACCTAAATTGCATAAAAAAGTAACGTATTTTAATTTAATTCTTATTTTAAGTAACATATTTTTAAAATTTTCATTTTGATACCTAAGATGTAAAATTTTAAGCATTTAAGTACTCGGGTAACTGGTAGAAGTATTAACCGGTTATCATACTGATGTGATATCCGATTAATATGAATCAAGTTATAATACGTTATTTTTTTATACAATTTATTCTATTTTAAAAATAAGAATATAAATTTTGAATTTAATATATCGTGTGACGGAAGTATTTGTTGATTATTAAGTTAGTGAAATAAAAATATTTAGCAAGTGTAATAATTATTATCAATCTGTTGAATTTTACTCTTTATGGTAAAGATAATATTTGCGTTATCAGGCATCTTATGCGTAAGAGACTGTTTGGTTTGCAAGATTATTTTTTAGGGAATCAGATTTCACAGAGGAATTTGAATTGGAATGAATTTGAAATAATTGGTCTGTTTGGTTTGTAGAATTTGGAATTGAATTAGATTCAATTATTTATAAATAATTTATACAAAAAATTATAAAAATAATTAAATTACATTTTTATTGATCGATTATTATAAAATAAAATATTTTTAACATTTTTAAGACCTTATTTCATATAATCTTATGAAATCACATGAAATTACGAGCACCTCTTAAGGATTTCAAAATCCTATGTTTGTAGGATCTCGATTAAATCCTAAGATTTCAAATTTGAACAATGTAACAAACCGAACATGAGACTGTAATAGATCTGAACTCCAAATCCCTCTAAATCCATTCCATTCATGTAACCCAAACAACCTCTAAATAATTGGATTTTTTTCGTTATTATTTATTCTAATATATTAAAATAGAACATTTTAATGATTCGTTTTAAATCTATGATATAATATTACAATTGAATAACTTATTAATATGTAATTTTATATTTAACAACTAGTTTTTATCAAACCTAATTAATTTATTAGAACACTTCTAACAAATATATCAGTATATGGAGTGAGTATGGTACAGTTAGGGATGGTGATTTGGCCCGACCCGGTGGGGAACCCGGTTCACCCGACCCGGACGGGGACGGGGATTCCCCGCTAAAACGGGTACCGGGGCCGGGGCCGGGTATTATATCCCCCGACCCGCCCCGCACCCGGTATTTATATAAATATTAACATTTTGATTATTTGGGCTTATAATTGATATGTGCGGCCTGTTGGACTTATGGACTTGAGCTTTGTAATTGATATGTCCAAATTTCAATCCTCTTCTACTCTTCTTGACTAGATATGATGTAATTATATTAACACTTGTTTTAAATTTTACATTTCTTTGGATTATTGTTAATKTTAYAATTTTATTATTTTTATTAGGCAAGACTAGATATGATGTAATTATGTTGTTATGTTGATCATGCTTAAAAAAAACTTATTAATTTTTATTTGACCGCGTGTTGACCGGGGGTTGACCGGGGGTTGACCGGGGTTGACCGAAAGTTGACCGGGGCCGGGGATTGCAAACCCTGCCCCATCCCCGCCCCGTTGCCATCCCTAGGTACAGTATCATGTTTTTTTTTCCTATATACCATGTACCAACTAATTATATTCGTACGTAAATTTTTATACCATGTACCAACAACTATATTTGCTACCAACTAAATTGGTATGAATTTTTTCGGTTGGTACATGTTGGTACGGCATTGTACCAACATTTCAAAAGTTGATATTAGAAATTTATTTAATTTGATATATTTATCAACTAAATTTAGATGCACTAAAACTATCGAGTATTCACATAACATGTTCATATGTGGTGTACCACTTATCCCTACTAATACAAACGGCCATTGAGGAGCGTCGATGGACCGTGGATAGGGGTGTTCGCGGTCCGGTTTGGGCGATTTAACCCCTCATACCACAAACCAAACCGTAATGGTAGTTTATAAAATTTTCAAACCGAGCAATTTGACATCAAATGCCAAGACCGATCAAACTAGACCACGAAAATATTAAACTTAAAAAACATATATAATTTTAGATTAAATATCCATTTTAACAAAATAAAATATCTAAACAAATAAATGTAATAATTAAACAGTTCTTGAGTACAAAGTTGAAGCAATCAAAAGTACAAACAAATAAATATATAATATATATTAAAAAACAAACAAATTAACAAAGTTACAACTCCACTATGAGTATTGAGTAACAAAATCCACGACTTCACAACCTTTAATGGTTTAATTCTCGAGTCTTGAGTTCTTGACCAAACAAAATAGAAGTCAAATCTAAGTTGGTTGAATCACTTGGTTGATGTCTTGATGATGTGCACCGAAATCAAACCATGGATTAGAAAGATCGATAGATTGATAGAAAACTTGAGGGATTTCGAAATTTGGAGACCGTTAATATCAAATGTGTCGATATGTTTAATGGTTTAATGGTTTTAGGCGCCGATTTTGATTATGTTTGATGTTAGACTTAAGGATATATTTGGGTCATAGCCCATAAATTAAAAAATTTGGGTTTGCTAATACTAAAATAGATAAATATAAATACACACACACACACACACACACATATATATATATATATATATTTGGCGGTCGGTTTGGTCCAAATCGCCTAAAAAAGATTCCGGACCGTAGATTGGACCAAACCGTCCGGTTTTGCTATTTTCCAAACCAAACCAAACCGGACTGTCAGACCGCTCAAACCGCCAAAAACGGTTCGGTTTGACTTGATTCGACCGGTTTGAACGGTCCAACGTTTTTTTTGAACACATCTAACCGTGGAGATGTGGACTAGTTACTAAGGTTGTTAGGATTAGACCAATGAATTCAATCAAAATTTATATGTATCCATCCATATTATATTATAGCAAAACTTAAAAGAAGATAATTTAAATTTTAAAATCAAAATATGTTGTATTATTAAATAAACTTTAATTGTTAAAAAATCAAGTCGGTACGGTACGGTACGAGATTACCGTGTTACAAGATTTCCTAATACTATGTATCAACCAAGTTTAGATCGTTGACACGATACTAACAACCAATTAGATCGGTACCAACTAAATTGGTACGAGAATCAGTTGGTTTGTCTTGTTACAAAGTTGACATCCATAAACAGGTATGCTATATTTTTTCCCCATTGTTTCAAATTTGGAGATTTATCTATTATATCTCTTTTTTTGTTTACATTCTAGAGCATGATTTAACATATATGTTAAAACAAACTTTTCTTAAATCTTTAAATTTTTCTAAATTAATATAGCTGTTGAAAATGCTATTAAATAACAGTTAACATATCTAACCAAATGGCTTTTGGTCTAGCGATATGTGAGTCTTTGACCTCCTAGAAGATCAGAGGTTCAAACCTCACAAAATATGATGAGGGTGTGTGAGCTTATTTGTTATATTTACCGTATAGAAATATTATATACTTGAAAAAAACATATCAACCAATAGGGTTGTACAAAAAACCGTCAACTCGTGAAACCCGTCCAACCCAACCCGCTAACAACCCAATTAAATCCAACCCGTCAAACCGCTAACCCGCCAATTAGAAGGGCTAGCTCAACCCGCCCAACCTGCCGCTAATATATAATTTTTATAAAATTATATATATATATATATGTTTATTATGTATATATATATATATATATTATTAATGTATAAATTTTATATAATTTTTATTGATATTATTTTTTGTTTCATTTTAGCTAAACGTATAGGTTACCAAAAGAAATTCACAATCAAAAAATGATGACAATAATCTAATTAATAAGGAAAATTATTGATTTTTTTGCAGCAACAACAATGAATGATATTAATAGAATTTGATGGACGAATCCATCAATCTATAACGCTTTTAAAGAGATATATTAAAAAAATGTCTTATCTAAAATAGTTACAATATGTTTATGAGATGATTTTGGACGTCTTAACAAATTCTATGATGCTTTTAAAATAAAGTGTTGTATTATTTATTTTATATAACACGACTTGAAAAAGCGTCATATGAACATAGATGTCTTATAAATAGATGAGTTTACGGGACACTTCTCAAAATGTTTCTATAAAATAACTAATACGACATTTTATTTAAAAATCACTCTAAAACACTTGTTGAAACGTCGAAAAACATCTTATAAAAACCTATTGTAACATTTTTAGATAGAACGCTTTATAATATGGTCTATAAACTTAATTTTTTTGAATTATTTCATTCGTCAAATTACGTAACTACTAATCCGCCAACCCAACCCGCCTCAACCAGCAAGGCTTAGGTTGGGTTATACTTTTGAATGAGTGAGTTGAGATTTTTCCAAACCGTCATAATTGAATTGAGTTGTAAAATTGTTGTAACCCGACCAACCCAACCCGCAAACACCCCTATCAACCAACAATTTTAATTAATAACTAATTTATCAGTCAACAATTAATTTATCAGTTAACTTGTATAAAAATATTCGAATATCCGGGTTATTTTACATCCCTATCCGATCCGGATGAAACCGGCCCCAAAAATCCGCGTCGCATAGTCTAAATCAGCCAACAAACTCCGTGCCTGTAGTTTTCCGAAAACACACGCCGCTGCCTATATAAACCAATTCCTCCCTTCAAATCAACCCAAATTTCGCATATTTTAGCCTATAAATCTTCAATTCGCCATGTCCAGAAGCACGATCTTAACCTTCTCCCTCGTGATTTTCTTCCTTTTCGTCTCGAGTTGTGTCGTGAATGGAATTCCAGGAGGTAGGACGAAGATAGAAGACGTGAAGACGAACAAGGAGGTTCAGGAACTAGGAAGTTATTCGGTGGATGAGTACAATAAGTTACAACGAAGCCAGAAGGGCGGTGCCGGAGATCTGAAGTTTTCGAAGGTGGTGTCGGCGGAGTCGCAAGTGGTGTCGGGGATCAAGTACTACTTGAAAATCGAAGCGGTGTCGAAATCGGGGGTTTCGAAGATTTTCGATGCGGAGGTGGTGGTTAAACCATGGATGCATTCAAAGCAGTTGCTGAATTTCAAACCTTCACCGGCGAGGAAATAGGGTAATCTATGAATTTGTTCTGTTTCTTCAGAATCGTCGAGATCTGTTGAGTAATGTTCTTGTTGTGACTTGGTTTTATAAATAAATCTATGGATCTATCGAATTATTCGAGTATTCACGTTGAATATGAAGATTAGGGTTTAAAGCGTCGATCTGAAGGTACCGACCGATACCGTTGTCCACCATGGCCATCGGTTTCAATGGCGGCAGGAATGTTGTTTTATTTATTTCTGTGTTATTTTATTGTATGTTGTTTGGAGTTAATTTATTAATGTTTGAAGAATGTTGTTTGGTTAGTTTTTCTTTATTAAATTAAAGCTGTATATATGGATTAATTTATCTGTATAGTTAAAGAACGTTTTTGTTTGAGAGAGTTTTTTCATAGATGAAATAAGCCTGTTTTTTTAATTGAGATGACAGGTTTCTACAAAAATACTTATCAATTTATTATAAGTTAAAATTGTTTAACTTCTTTAAAAACTCATTATTACCGGTTTGGCACCGGTATAAGTTGTTTATCCAAACACTCAAAAATGCTTATTACATGTGTCATATTGAAATAAGTCAATAACTTATTTTTATAAGCAATCCCAAATATCACTTTATTGGTCATGAAATGGCGTAACATAAACGCTTTTTTATTATGTATCACTAATATGGTAAAAGTAAACAACATTGCTTACTGGAAAAGAATATCAACTAATATAAAAGGACAATAAGAAGTGTCTTTTCAGGGTTGTTTGTTTATCTCTTAATAGTTCTATTAAGATAATTTTATAAAACGTTAAAAGGTGAATCTTGTTTGACAAAAAAAAGTTGTATCTTTGGTTTCAAAACCATCTGAATGATTTTGTATCATGGGCCTTCCTGCCTTAATTTCATTGTAAACAATTAACAAACAATTATATTTCATTTTATACTATATCATGAGAGCCTATTAATCATTTTACATCAAATCATTTAACAACTGTCAAACAATCCATTTCTCAATAAAACATAATAAAGGTTTAATTAAGGATCCGTTTGGTTTGCAATATTTTTTTAAGGATTTGGATTTCATTGAAAGATTTGTATTGGAACGGATTTGAAATTATTAATGTGTTTGGTTTGTAAGATTTGAAATGAAATTTAATTTCATTATTTATAAAAAAAATTATAAATAAATAGAAAAATAATCGAATTACATTTTTACTAATCGAATATTACAAAATAAATGTTTTTAAAAAACTTTAAACCTTATCGCATATAATCCTACGAAATCACGTGAAATCCATAACACTCCTTAAGAAGTTCAAAATCTCATGTTTGAAATATTTCAATTAAATCATAAGATTTCAAATCCGGACAATCCAACAAACCAAACATGAAATTAAAATAAATTTAAAATGTACATCCCCCCAAATCCATTCCGTTCCTTCAAACCAAAGCGTTTGACATATTTTTGTTCTAATAAATTATTCAAAAATAAAATATAATAGGAAGGCATGTTAAATTCTCTAAATTTATAGCAAACTTTAAAATGAGAGAAGAATGAGTTTTCTATAAATGTTAATAATATTAAATATTTATAACAGATTAATAATATTTTATAAAATTTATTGATCAACAGACGCGCGTTTTAAAGTACACCTCAAAAAGAAAACAAAAAGGGTATTTTTGGAAAACAATATGGTTAATCGTATAATACCATATCAAATAATAGACAAATCATGACAACACGATCACGTTCTTCTTTCTTTCCACCACCATTGGTTCCATGACGTGTTTCTAATTTAGTTCGAATACCTGTAAAACACAAGCAGTCGTTTGTACGCAACTACATTTATTTAACTTAATCATATCAATACGAAACCTCTCAAACATTAACCATCCTGTTTTCTTTCTTCCATCAACTGGAAACATAAACCATAAATCAATCACATGGTAAATTCGTGAGAAAAATAAGAAAGTGAACGAACCATACGTCCACATTGGTCAGTTCTGATAAGAACCCAAGAGCATACTGCAACACAATCGATCCGACAATCAACAGATCAGTTATTTATGACTGAGGAATGAAGAAATGAACAACTAAGACTTAACCCATCCAGAATTTCAGTTATGCTGTGTATAATCCCATACTGTATATATCAAGTAGTACTGAAATACGTGAACGTACAAAATGCTGTGAAAAATGTTCTGTCATGAAGGATGTAATAACGATGATTAGTTTGATGGTTGAAAAAATGAATATGTCCTTACTTTACAAGTCTCGGTGGAGATAGATATAATACATATTGTATTGGTTGAAACATAAACCATAAATGTGCATAAGATGCAACGATTCATAATTGTACAACCAGCAAACCATGTGTGACCATAATCTTTCAATTATTATAATTGCGTAGTGATTGAGCTGACATGATGATTCTCGGGTCCTACAGTAAATAAGTTTACTGGTATTTGGGAGTAACGGGTGATGGTTGCTTGTATTCCTAAGTTTCAAAAGCTCTTCATAGTGAGCAACTAAGGTAGAAACACATATGTGCATGTGATGATCAAACCGACATAGGATGGGTATGGCCCACACAAGAATATGAGATCTCATAAAGGATTTTATTTGCAATCATGTTTACATGTAATAAAATTACATGAAAAAGTAATGTACTTTAACTTGATTCCTATTTTTGGTAACGTACTTTTAAAACTTTCATTTTGGTACATAATATGTAAAGTTTTAAACATTTAAGTACTCGGGTAACTGGTTGAAGACCAATTTTATATTTAAAAAAAATCATGTCACTAACCACGTCTGCAAATGATATTGAGTTGTATATCACATCACTCGTCACATTAGCATGATAACTGGTTAATGCTTCAACCAGTTATCTGAGTACTTAAATGTTAAAAAAACTTTACATCTTAGATATCAAAATGAAAGTTTTGAAAGTACGTTACTCAAAATATGAATCAAGTTAAAGTACCTTACTTTTCATGCAATTTGCCCTTGTAACATATGTAAGGGTGTTGATCGATTGAAATTCAGTGGGTGTAAGTGTATTTGATCCGACCTAATTATCTATTGGATGTTGGATTGCTGTTTGATCCAATCAAACTAACATTCCACATCTTTTTCAATTATATCAAAGGGACGATTGGATCAGATTGGTTTCATCAATTGGATATTATCATCGATTATCAACTGGACTGATTGTTATCCATTCAATATTATGATTAAGTTTTCAACTGATTAATTCACAATTTCAACAAATTATTCACAAGTTTTTTTTCCGGAATTTATTAAAAGAACACTACATACAGATATAAACTAAAAGTAAAAAAATCGTAAAATATAATTAATTATACAATATATTTGGATTAGACGAGTTCGATTTTATTGGATTCCGGACTACCATCCAATAAGCGACAGATCCAATTTGGAGTAGGTAAGGGAATAGGACAAGGATGGGGCGGGACCCTGATCTCCATCCTCATCCCCGGCCCTCAATCTTCGTTCTCGTCTCAACGGGGAATATGATCATATCCTCGTCTCCGTCCCCAACAAGGAACAAGGATCCCCAACGGGAAGTTTTAGATATGTTTTTCCCGTTTATGTGAAATATTTTGAACCAGGTGTGTTAAACACTACAATCGATACAAAATTGGTCGATGTCTCTTCTCAGGCGGAGTCAATGTGGCAGAGCTGACAAATGAGCATTTTTCACAATGGATAATCACAAAAATAACCAACATCAGAGTTCACGCGTATCACAAGACGAGCAACTTTTTCCAAATCATTACATAATAACCAATTATTTCACAAGAACCCACTTTCTTACAAAATGTACTATTTGACTTTTTTATATTGTTTGTGATCCCACTTTCCGAGAACCATGCAAAATTGAGGTTTTTGCCCAGGGAAATTGATTGAAATAGTCATTTCCATCAACCAAATTCACTTTTTAGCCACTTTTCAAAGTCTCTTCCCAAAAGAGTCGGTCTTTACACAGATGCTTTATGCATGTAGAGAACTGAAGTGGTAGAGTGCGGAAGGGGTGTTGGTCTCGGTGGTCTTGAAGTGGCTCGAACTGACGACCTATGTACAGAAACATCAAGACATAACATTCATTTGTCAGTTAAGCTGGTCTTCAAAGTTTGTTGACATCTGGTTTGGGAAGGCTACGATGGTGTAACGAGGGTAGAGTGTGGAAGGGGTGTTGGTCTCGAAGACCTCGGGAGAACTGATGAAATGCTTTTCTCGGAAATAGAAAGGGTAGAGAAGTCTACACAGAAGAAAGGATCGAGAATGACAGAGTGCATAAAGATTGGTCAGGACGTGGGGGTGAAGACGGATTAGACCGCTTGACATCTTCGGTTTTTGTGTGCAACCCAAACCCGACATTCCACGTCCACACTGAGTCCTTCGTGACTGTGGCTCGAAAAATCATACCTACATTGCTCGATGAAGATGTATACCGTAACTTACGATAGTAAACAATATTTTTGGTAATTTATGCAAATTTGGAAATCAATATTCAAAGTATTATGGTTCATATTATCTTTTAATAGTCGGTAAAACTTCATTATTAGTTGATATTTCTTTCGTTTTTCTTTCATGTTTTCTATTTATAGTCTTTACTTTAAATTACTTTTTTGTTTACGGGAAACTGATTCGAAAATCCATGATTACTAAGATTTGATTAGTTATTAAATTAATGGGTTGTTTAGCAATTCACGTTATCTCGCTCGAGTGAGCGCTTTTCAAGTCGTATTACTTTACCGGATGAATATGACAAAGACCAAAAATCTTATTCGGTAAGAGCGAACGACCAAGAGTCTTACCCCGGTTAATGTTTACCGGGTAAATTTTTGCATACAATGCCGTTTTCATGGACTAAAATTTTACCCGATAAGGTAAGTGAGTGTTGAATTTTACTGGTAAAGACTTGAATCATCTCCAACAAATTCTGAAATTTTTCTTCAAAATAGAGAATCAAAACTCAATTTTTTTATAGAAAATTACATTCAACTTCAATAGATTCTTCATATTTGAAATTACAATATTGATTATGTCATTAAAATATTATTTTTATTTCATAAACATTTAATCTCAATGTATTTTGCTCGTGATAATATAATAAAAAAATTGTTTATCTCTAATGATAATCATTTTTGGTGAGTTTTTTATGTTTGAAAATTTTCACTCTCTGTTGTGTTTTCTTTATTTTAGAGAAGGTTTTGGGAAATCTGTTGAAGCAAAAATCGTCAAAATCTTCATTTTTTTCATTTTTGAAAATATGTTGAAGATGCACTTACTGATTAACTGTTTGGGTAAATGACCCCTTATTCGGTCAGCTACACATGACTGTTTGATAGTGGCTTTATGATATTAAAAGTGGCTTATTTAATAAGCTTATAAACGGGAAACTTTATGTAGAAAACCATGTTTTTTTTTCTTAAACATGTCTATTTTAATTAAGAGTAAACTGCAATTTTGGTCCTTATGGTTTATACGAATCACCGAAAGTGGTCCATAGACTTCAATAACTAGACTTTTTTTTTCCTGTTAAGTTAGGGGTATCTTCGTATTTTTTACTTTTACAAGGATAAGTTATACAATTTTGTTAAAGCACATGGACATAATTGTAATGTACTCTAATTTATGTTGACATTATATATATAGATCGAAGTTCAAATGAGAACACCTCCATTTTACGAGAACGCAATAACACCCTTATCACATGTGATAATACGCGTGAGGGGCCCCTGTGATGTGCGGACGACGTGTTCTACGACTTACGTCATGCCAAAGATTTCTGCGTCTATGATTTAGCATCACATGTGATGGTCTTGATGAAATATAGTATCATATTAACAACACCCTTATCACATGTGATAATACTTGTGAGGGGGCTTAGTGGTGTTAGGGCGACTTGGCCCACAACCAATATCGCATTGAAAATCGCCCGCGTCTCTGATTTTATATCACATGTGTATCATGTGTGATAGAATAATAGTATCACATATGATTGTATAAAGTAAAAAGGTGTTCTCGCGTTCTCGTAAAATGAAGGAGTTCTCGTTTGAACCCCTCTCTCTCTCTCTTTATATATATATATATATATATATATATATATATAACATACATACGCAATACAAACACATGGTCCATCACCGGCAACCATCTCCGGCACCCTCCAGCATAGGGGTGCTCATGGTTTGGGTTGAAGACATTTGAACAACTCAATCTAATGCTTGCGGTTTGAAAAATCTTAATCCAACCCAACCTAAACCAAAGTGCAACCCAACCCAACCCAAATTGTACGGGTTGGTCGGGTTGGTACTTTGGTATATTAAAATATTTTTCTAACCTTGAATATGTTATTTATCTACTCATAAATTTTTTCATCATCAACCATTTGATACAACTTATTCATACTTCTTATGTATATCACATTCAATTAATTTTCTCAATTTACATGTATATGTTTCACTATCACTTAACATATATAGAAATGTGTTATATAGAAATGTTAATAGATTAAAAATATGTATATATGGAGAGCGTACATGATGGTGTAATTGTCTAATGTATATATTAATAAAAATTTAATAATCGTATTAAATCCAATAAATAAAAGGATATAGGGTTCATTGGGTTGGGTTCAAATAAGAGTAACCTAATATCAATCTAATACCTATGATTTGAAAATTTTACAACTCGATCAAATATCGGTTTACTTCGGGTTAAGTTATTTCGCATTAGGATGGGTTGATCGAGTTGTCGGTTTTTTGAGCACCCCTACTCCAGCACCCTCTGACGACGACTACAACACCACCTCCAACACTCTCCATCCCTCCTCGTCCCCTTTGCTTTTCTCTTTCTGACTAGCACAACAGCACCTCCTCCTCGCGTTTCTTTTTCGACCAACCTACAACAACCACTTGCAACTTTGACCAACCCCCCCCCCCCCCC